TTTTTGCTAGCAACTCCCTATGAAATTATTTCTTTAGTTTATTACTGTGTAATGTTATATAACTACCGTATAATATTATAGTATTGTTAGTTTGGTGTGGTATTCTATACGTGGTTGTTTGAAACCAAACGCATCTTCAGAATTTGACTATTCTCAGAGATAGAGACAGTAGTTTTGGTTATGGGTAATAGTGGTGGATCTGTGTCTTAGGGGACATTCCAGATCACAGAGCCCAGAAACATTTCCTCTTGGGGGTAAGACGGGAGGTGGGGGGGACGCATGCTGATGGAGCTGTTGACAGTATGAACTTTAGCAGTCACAGTAATGCTGGATCACAGTGGCATTTCTGTGTCCTTTGAAATGTGTACTATCTTGGGAATGTTGCCACTTCTTGCCCTAAGTTTTGTAGAGGTGTTAAAAAAGAAAACGCCCCCCTACCTTCCAGTTGAGACACTGTTTGGGGAGCTGGTATAGTGGTTAAACAAGTCAAGTAAATAACTCCGGAAGTCTGGTGGCTGGTTCTGAAAGAGCTCTCAGTTGTTTGCGTTATGTTGAAGTGCTGCATATATTTGTAACAAAAACTGAAGATGTTCCTGAAGTATTTTACTTTTTGAAAAAAAATTTTCTTTAACATTTATTCATTTTTGAGATTGAGAGAGGCAGAGCATGAGCAGGAGAGGGTTAGAGAGAGACACACAGAATCTGAAGCAGGCTCCAGGCTCTGAGCTGTCAGCACAGAGTCCGATGCTGGGCTCAAACTCACAGACCGTGAGATCACGGCCTGCGCTGAAGTCGGACGCCCGACGGACTGAGCCACCCAGGTGCCCCTGAAGTATTTTCCTTTTTGAAGGAGTTGACTTGTGGTGTAAAACTACTAAATATTAGGGTTTAGTTTTTCTAATACAACTAGCTGTCTAAAGCTTGAAGATAGAAGTCGTTTCAGTTTAAAGAATACTTTCTCCCCCTCTGCTGTAACTCTTCAGTTTTCAAAGGACTAATATTGGCAAATTATTAGAATGGACATTTGGATTTTGCCGTTTGAGGAGTTGGTGGCCCACTAAGAACACCGGTTCCTATCAGAGGTAAACTAAAGATATTGCAAAGTCTCGGACATGCCCCATCTTCTACTTTCTCTTTCTTTGTGGCCTTAAGATCATTAAAGTTAGTGACTCAGCTAATTTTTTTTAATCCACCTCTTAGAAAAGTTGAACGTGTTTGTGACCAAGCACTTCGAGTTATTTCCTTTAAACCAAGTGTTTGCAGCGTTCTTAGATTTATAGCAGTCTTTGTTTACCGTGTAATTCAGTCCAATTGAGGAACTAGTAAAACTGCATTATCCAGACATCAAAGACAGGCATGTAAGAAGAGTGTGCTTCTACCGGGGAACCTATTCGATTTCTACCAAGGGGAAAGTTACCAGGTGTCCCCAAATTAACCATTCCTTTGCCAGCTGATTCTCATTGTTTGGTAGCTTTTTTAGTGTAGTCAGCAGCATTCTGGGTTTCAAATATGAGTTGCTACGTTCTTGAGAGTCGAGAGTTGTTGCTTTCCGTCTTTGGCGTCCTTCAGATAGCGGAGACGTTGACTTGCATGGGCGGCACAGAATATCATGCGCTGAAGAAACTGACCAAACAAGGTTTGGAGAATACATTTTAGCTTAGTTCAAAGTTGAGCTGCTGTCTCTATTTCTTGAGGTTCAAGAGCAGGTTTGGTGTTTTGTTTTCCTGGGATTTTTGTGAAGAGAGAGCTTATTCGACCCACTTTACAGAGAATAAGGGGGATGATTTGCCAGCTGCGTGCAGCAGTCACTTGAAGTGGGACCCCGTCACCAAGTTGCATTTCAGGATTGATCAAGTAGGTGGCCTTGAGTCCTGCCAGACTCTGGGATGGGGAATTGACGGAGAAGGGCTCTGTGACAGGAGCACCCCTGACTTACACTTTCATCAGCATTCCTATCTGAGGCACTGTCAAACCTGAGTCTTCCGAGAGGTGGAAACAAAATTGTGTATATGTGTACTACAAGTAATAAGCAAAAGCACTGTGATTTCGTATGAATCTTTGCTATTTGGGTATTTCAGAGGATGTATGTAAACATCTTACAATTTTACCTAAGGAAGCAGTTGCCTGGGGAAGTGGAGGATGGGGATCGATCTTTCACATGGATGTCTGCTTGTTTCTGCTGAAATCTGGACCTTGGCTTCTTTAGGAGCATGCCATTAGGTTATCTGGAGGTGATTGCTTATAATCATCGAGATTTCCGTCTTGACAATGGTCAAATCATTTTTACATACCACACGTAGGCACGTTTTGTTTCCACGGAGGGTTTGGCTTTCTCGGTTATCGAGGGAAGATAAGGGATGTTTGGGAAAGGTCTGTGACCTTTTGAGGTTATCATCATAGGGGACAACTTTCCTCTCTCATTCATCACCCCCTCTTCTTAGAATAAAGTATGGTGATGTGACTTCCCGTGGCATCTCTTAGGAGAAGGGCTCACAAAAATATATTCAGGTTGTGGAGATGCTGGGTTCCTACCAGCCATGACCGAGATTCAAAAGAAAATTGTTCTCTTTTTTATTTTATTTTATTTTTTTTTAACGTTTATTTATTTTTGAGACAGAGAGAGACAGAGCATGAACGGGGGAGGGTCAGAGAGAGAGGGAGACACAGAATCTGAAACAGGCTCCGGGCTCTGAGCTGTCAGCACAGAGCCCGATGCGGGGCTCGAACTCATGGACCTCGAGATCGTGACCTGAGCCGAAGTCGGCCGCTTAACCAACCGAGCCACCCAGGCGCCCCTGTTCTCTTTATTTTAAACTGAGTTATCTCAGGAGACTGTTCATTTGGCTACGTGTTCGGCCGTCGCGTGGTCATATTTGCACGTGTGAGTAGACGGCAGTGCAGTATAAGCAGTAGTAGCCAGAAGACCATTTATGTGGAGACAGCCGAGGGCTATGTATTTGATTTCTGTTAACCAGGAGGTTGCTAAAGACATCGTAAGATACTATCATAACGTTTCATTACTTCACCTCTTCCTACTTTAGGTCCTTTAAGGTGCCACCTTTCAGCCACGTTCTGTGGTTCCCCATAGCCTTCGGGAAAGACTGCAGACTCTTTGAAAGAGGTTTAATCTGATTTCTGCTTCTAATGCACCTCACCCATCTGCTCCCCACACACACTTGAGGGGCCGTGCCTTTTTCTGCAGAGACGAGTCTCCGTGTTTCTTTCACCTACTTCAGGTTTCTCCTGAGGTGGAACTTCCTCCAGAAAGGCCTTCCTCAATCAAAACACTGGGTGTAATATGCCCTCATAGTCATTCCCTGACTCATTCCTTCAGTAAATCTTCGTGTCAAGCACCGTGTCGTAGGCTGAGGATACAGAAGTAAACGAGAAGGGGTGGACCTTGTCCTCACAAAGCTTATTCTGTTCTCGTCAGGGAAACCACCCAATATTCACACCTTTTTAAAAATGCTTTTTATTTGGAAACAATCACAAATTTATAGAAAGTTGCAAAAAAATTAAAATGGCACAAAGGAATATCTTATCCAGATTTACCTGTTGTTAACATTTTACCGCATGCGCATTCTTTCTTTCAACGTATATACATATTTTTTTCTGGACCAGTCACACACATTATGGTCTTTTCCCCCCAAATACTTCAGTGTGTATTTTATAAGAGTAGGCCTATTCGCTTACATGGTAGTTACCTTCCTAAATTTACATCGATCAAATACTTCTATGTAATATTCCGTTCAGAGTCCAGTGTTGTTACATGACTTAATAATGTCCTGTATTTCCCATTCTGGTGCAGAATCCATTCTAGGTTCAAACAATTGCATTTAGTTATGATGTCTCTTTAGCTTCTCGATCTAGAATGTTTACATAGCCATTCTTTGTCTTTTATGACATGGATACTTTTTGAGAAGTATAGAGTGTGCACTACATCCCCCCGCCCAACCCCCATAATAGAATCTCGCTCGTTTTTTGTTTATCTGATGTTTCCTTGTGATTCGGTTGAGGGAATACATTCTAGGTCATCACACCGCTTAGTAATGTGTCCTCTTGGGGGTACCACATCTGGAGGCCCATGATGTCCTTCTGTCCCTCTTTGGTGGTGATAATTTTCATTACCCAAAGTGTTAACCCAGGGTACCTGGGTGGCTCAGTTGGTTAAGCGTCCGACTCGCAGTTCATTAGTTCAAGCCCCGCGTCGGATTCTGTGCTGACAGCCCGGAGCCTGGGACCTGCTTCGGATTCTGTGTCTCCCTCTCTCTCTCTGTTCCTCCCCCACTTGCACTCTGTCTCTCTTTCAAAAATAAATAAAGATTAAAAAAATTTTTTTTTAACAAAGTGTTAAGGCAGTTTCTTTACTGTATAATTAGTGGTTTTTGGTACCTCTTCCCTCTGCAGCTGATAAGTAGCATATCAGGAGGTACCTCAGGTCTGTGCAGATATCCTGAGTCTCATCAAAATCTTCCCCCTAGATGGGGTATCAAGTGATGATTCTTGTCTGATCCAGTAGTATGAACTCAGGTTTCTGTTTTTGGCAGTGGGTTATAATCCATTACTGTCTTTAATTATTTTGGTGCTCAAATTGTTTCAGATTTGACCAGTGGGATCCCCTTCAAGTGGGCTCCTGTGTCTGTGAGGTGCCCTGTCATTTTTTCAAGCACTTCCTTTCCTGCACAATAGGTTGTTCCAGGCTCTTCTTGTGCTAACTCTGCTCTAACCCTGGTATCAGCCATGTTTCCAAGAAGCCCTCAAACTCTTGTTTTAACACTCAGCACAACTGCTTACTTGTATGTCTTCCTCTGTTAGAGGTATTGAGAGCACATAGATGTCAGTCTTACTCTTACGTCTTCACTCAGCGTGAGGCCTGGCACATTTAGTGTTTACGTATTTGTTGAACGAGAAAATTGATTTTTGCTATAGTTCAGCGACTAAAATCAGGTTCCAAAATTATGATGCTGATGGGTTTTCTTTCTCCTCCCGCCCCCGTCTAGGAAGAAATGTTTACTATCTGGCGATGAGAAGTGGTGAAAACTGACCTCGTGCTGGTGTACAAACACTATGGGACCTGACACTTTCACCTCGTGGGCAGCCGGCCCCCACTGATAATGTGGGGAAACCATCAGGTCCACTGGAAAACACTAATCTGATCTTGGAAGTGGCCGATTGTGGCAGGATGTGTCGACGATGATGATGGCAAGAAAGCAAGATGTCCGCATTCCCACCTACAACATCAGTGTGGTGGGATTGTCTGGGACCGAGAAGGAGAAGGGCCAGTGCGGCATTGGGAAGTCTTGCCTGTGCAACCGCTTCGTGCGCCCGAGTGCTGATGAGTTTCACTTGGACCATACCTCTGTCCTCAGCACCAGTGACTTTGGCGGGCGAGTGGTCAATAATGACCACTTTCTCTACTGGGGAGAAGTTAGCCGTTCCCTGGAGGATTGTGTGGAATGTAAGATGCACATTGTGGAGCAGACTGAGTTCATCGATGATCAGACTTTTCAACCTCATCGAAGCACGGCCCTGCAGCCCTATATCAAGAGAGCTGCTGCAACCAAGCTCGCATCAGCTGAAAAACTCATGTACTTTTGCACTGACCAGCTGGGGCTGGAGCAGGACTTTGAGCAGAAACAAATGCCAGATGGAAAGCTGCTGATTGATGGTTTTCTTCTTGGTATTGACGTTAGCAGGGGCATGAATAGGAACTTTGATGACCAGCTCAAGTTTGTGTCCAATCTCTACAATCAGCTTGCAAAAACAAAAAAGCCCATAGTGGTGGTCCTGACTAAGTGTGATGAGGGCGTTGAGCGGTACATTAGAGATGCACATACTTTTGCCTTAAGCAAAAAGAACCTCCAGGTTGTGGAGACCTCAGCAAGATCCAACGTAAACGTGGACTTGGCTTTCAGCACCTTAGTGCAACTCATTGATAAAAGTCGGGGAAAGACGAAAATCATTCCTTATTTTGAAGCTCTCAAGCAGCAGAGTCAGCAGATAGCTACAGCAAAAGACAAGTATGAGTGGCTGGTGAGTCGCATTGTCAAAAACCACAACGAGAATTGGCCGAGTGTCAGCCGAAAGATGCAGGCCTCTCCTGAGTACCAGGACTATGTCTACCTGGAAGGTACTCAGAAAGCCAAGAAGCTGTTTCTCCAGCACATCCACCGCCTCAAGCACGAGCACATTGAGCGCAGGAGAAAGCTGTACCTCGCAGCCCTGCCGTTAGCCTTTGAAGCTCTTATACCCAATTTAGATGAAATAGACCACCTAAGCTGCATAAAAACCAAAAAGCTCTTGGAGACCAAGCCAGAATTCCTGAAGTGGTTTGTTGTGCTCGAAGAGACACCGTGGGATGCCACCAGCCACATTGACAACATGGAGAATGAGCGGATTCCCTTTGACTTGATGGATACCGTCCCTGCCGAGCAGCTGTACGAGGCCCACTTAGAGAAGCTGCGGAACGAGAGGAAAAGAGCTGAGATGAGAAGGGCATTTAAAGAAAACCTGGAGACCTCTCCCTTCATAACTCCCGGAAAGCCTTGGGAAGAGGCCCGTAGTTTTATTATGAACGAAGATTTCTACCAGTGGCTGGAAGAATCCGTATACATGGATATTTATGGCAAACACCAAAAGCAAATTATAGACAGAGCAAAGGAAGAGTTTCAGGAGCTGCTTTTGGAATACTCAGAGTTGTTTTATGAGCTGGAGCTGGATGCTAAGCCCAGCAAGGAGAAGATGGGTGTCATTCAGGATGTTCTGGGGGAGGAACAGCGATTTAAAGCATTACAGAAGCTCCAAGCGGAGCGTGATGCCCTTATCCTGAAGCACATTCATTTTGTGTATCACCCAACCAAGGAAACGTGCCCTAGCTGCCCAGCTTGTGTGGATGCTAAGATCGAGCACTTGATTAGTTCTCGGTTTATCCGACCATCTGACCGGAATCAGAAAAATTCACTGTCTGACCCCAACATTGATAGGATCAACTTGGTTATCTTAGGCAAAGATGGCCTCGCACGTGAGTTGGCCAATGAGATTCGAGCTCTCTGTACAAATGATGATAAGTATGTGATAGATGGTAAAATGTATGAGCTTTCCCTGAGGCCGATAGAAGGGAATGTCAGGCTTCCTGTGAACTCTTTCCAAACGCCAACATTTCAGCCCCACGGCTGCCTCTGCCTTTACAATTCAAAGGAATCTCTATCCTATGTGGTGGAGAGTATAGAGAAGAGTAGAGAGTCCACACTTGGCAGGCGAGATAACCATTTAGCCCATCTTCCCCTGACGTTGATCTTAGTTAACAAGAGGGGAGACACCAGTGGAGAGACCCTGCATAGCCTAATACAACAAGGTCAGCAGATTGCTAGCAAACTTCAGTGTGTCTTTCTCGACCCTGCTTCTGCTGGCATCGGTTATGGACGCAACATTAATGAAAAGCAAATCAGTCAAGTTTTGAAGGGACTCCTGGACTCCAAGCGTAACTTAAACCTGGTCAGTTCTACTGCTAGCATCAAAGATCTGGCTGACGTTGACCTGCGAATTGTCATGTGTCTGATGTGTGGAGATCCTTTCAGTGCAGATGACATACTCTATCCTGTCCTTCAGTCCCAGACCTGTAAGTCTTCCCATTGTGGAAGCAACAACTCTGTTTTACTTGAACTACCGATCGGACTCCACAAGAAGCGCATTGAGCTGTCTATTCTTTCGTACCATTCCTCATTTAGCATCAGAAAAAGCCGGTTGGTCCATGGGTACATTGTTTTTTATTCAGCCAAACGTAAGGCCTCCTTGGCTATGTTACGTGCCTTTCTTTGTGAAGTGCAGGATATTATCCCCATTCAGTTGGTCGCACTCACTGACGGCGCTGTAGATGTCCTGGACAATGACTTAAGTCGGGAACAGCTGACCGAAGGGGAGGAGATTGCTCAAGAGATTGACGGGAGGTTCACAAGCATCCCTTGTAGCCAACCCCAGCACAAACTTGAGATCTTCCACCCATTTTTTAAGGATGTGGTGGATAAAAAGAACATAATCGAGGCTACTCATATGTACGATAACGCTGCTGAGGCCTGTAGCACCACGGAAGAGGTGTTTAACTCCCCCCGAGCGGGCTCTCCACTCTGCAACTCCAACCTGCAGGATTCAGAAGAGGATATCGAGCCCCCTTCTTATAGCTTGTTTCGAGAAGACACGTCACTGCCTTCTCTGTCCAAAGACCATTCTAAGCTCTCTATGGAACTGGAGGGAAATGATGGGCTGTCGTTCATCATGAGCAATTTTGAGAGTAAACTGAACAACAAAGTACCTCCACCAGTCAAACCAAAGCCTCCTGTCCATTTTGAAATCACAAAGGGGGATCTGTCTTATTTAGACCAAGGCCATAGAGATGGGCAGAGGAAGTCTGTGTCTTCTAGCACCTGGCTACCTCCGGATGGGTTTGATCCTTCTGATTATGCTGAACCCATGGATGCTGTGGTCAAGCCAAGGAACGAAGAAGAAAACATATATTCAGTGCCCCATGACAGCACCCAAGGCAAAATCATCACCATTCGGAATATCAACAAAGCCCAGTCCAACGGCAGTGGCAACGGTTCCGACAGTGAAATGGACACCAGCTCTCTAGAACGAGGCCGCAAGGTGTCCATCGTGAGCAAGCCCGTGCTGTACAGGACGAGATGCAGCCGGCTAGGAAGGTTTGCGAGTTATCGAACCAGCTTCAGTGTGGGGAGCGATGATGAGCTAGGGCCCATTCGGAAAAAAGAGGAGGATCAGGCATCTCAAGGTTATAAAGGGGACAATGCCGTCATTCCATATGAAACAGACGAAGACCCAAGGAGGAGGAATATTCTTCGCAGTCTACGGAGGAACACTAAGGTAAGACACCAGGTTAGGAATGAATCATAGGAGTGGCTTGCATAGTGTCTGGGTGAGAGCTGACTGTTGATGACGATGATGATGATTTTTCAAGGACAGCTTATTCTGGGTAAAAAAAAAATTGGTCGGTGTGTGCATTTACTCTCTGACTTGGTATAAAAAAGTAGGCAGTGTCTCAGATTGCTACCACTGGCAGCTCTGGAGTAGTTAAGGACCTTGGATAGACAGCCTGAGTTTGAGTTGTCTTTGTCCAGAATAAGAGTTAGGTAATTCCAAAATGAGCAGATCATGTAGAACTTGTCGGTGTCCTGACAGGTAGCCAAGCCAGTGACGATATGCTTGCTCTTCCTTTATGTGAACACCAGAATCTAAAATTGCATGCTCAGTCTCTGACTGCTAGACAAACATTTCATCCATATGCCTCTTAAAAGCTCCTTTTTCCCCCTCACTGACCCGTAAGGTTGCTGCATCTTAGATTAGGAAAAATTGGATGATTATTTTGTTTGCATATGCGAATGAGTGAAGGGTCTTTATGTAAGTGAAAAGTAAGAAGTAACTTGCCACTGTGAGTTATAAACCTGTCCCATATTTGTGAGATTGGAGTGCCCTCCAGCTGCATTATTTTAAGTGAGTTGCTGTGACGGCTTCAGGTTTTATTTAGGGACCAAAGCAGGATGGGGAGAAGAGAAAGAAAGTAAACCGCGTGTGTTATGAGTGTCAGGCCTGCCATCAGATGGAGAGGAAACAGCAGCAGGTGAATCCTCTTTATCTTGTTTCAAATTGTGGTTTACAAAGTAGAGTGCCCTGTCCCCTTGGGCTTAAGATTTGAGATAGAAAAGGTATTTCCCAGATTTTTCTTTTTTTCCCCCCATTTAGAGCAGAGGGAAACCCTCTGTTTTTTCAAAGAAAGACATCTGGGTGAGACAGGAAAATAAAGGTGTGTTATATGCTAGCCCACGACCAGCCTTGCGACATACAGAATGAGGATTTCTCTGCATTGAAAGCTTTTCCTCCTCTCCCTACCGTGAAGCAGCAGAGAACGAAGTCACTTGTCTGAAAACATTTCAGGGAACTTTGGAAGAAAGGATGCCAAAAACTTATGTTATTACAAGACGTACCAAATCAGAAGGATCTAGAGTTGACAATTCTGTTGTAAAGTAAGTACCACCCGGAGGCTAGTTCTGCAGCTCTTACTGGTTAGGAGGGCCCTTGCAGGTGGAGGAACATGGTTCCATGGCCCTCACAGGGAGCGCACCCTCACTTTGTGTTCCCTCATAGCATACACAGTGGTTCCCAGTCACCATTGGCTGGAGTTTCCAGAATTTCCTCACCTGTGTAATTTTAGAAAGGGCAGGGCAGCATTGTTGTGTGTTCTGTCCCCGCCCGGCCCCCCCCCCCGCCTGCCCCGAACTGAACATTAATAAATATCATAGGCATTCTCCTATTTGATTTCCCCTTGTTTTTTCTCTTGGATTCCTTCATCTGCCTTCAGTATTTTGTCCTCCAAGGGTTAGTAATGGGCAGACCCATTGAAAACCTTTCGTATTTATGAAGTCTGAAGTTAGCCTCACCTGCCTCCCAGTATTTCCTCAAAGCTCTCCTGTTTAATGATCCTGGAATCCAAACATTTTAACGTTTTGACTTTCTTCTCTTCCTCCTCCACTCCTGATGAAGACTGTTACCAGAATAGCTTATCTGAATGCTGGCAGTCTTAATTTGTGGGGGTGTTTGCACACCTGGGAATTAGGATTAGGAAGGTGGCATAATAGCACACTGAGTTGTAACTGATCTTCTGACTTCTAACTACATTTTTAACACTTGTTGAAGATAATGTTTTTAAGACACATTCCCAAACAGACCGTGCTTTAAAGAGCGCACACATAGGGGCGCCTGGGTGGCGCAGTCGGTTAAGCGTCCGACTTCAGCCAGGTCACGATCTCGCGGTCCGTGAGTTCGAGCCCCGCGTCGGGCTCTGGGCTGATGGCTCGGAGCCTGGAGCCTGTTTCCGATTCTGTGTCTCCCTCTTTCTCTGCCCCTCCCCCGTTCATGCTCTGTCTCTCTCTGTCCCCAAAATAAATAAAAAACGTTGAAAAAATAAAATAAAATAAAGAGCGCGCACGTTAGGCTCAGCCGAAGACGGCTGGGGACCCTGTTTTTAAAGAGCACTTCCTAACCTAGAACTTCCTTACCCTGGGTTGCTGGGTCAGCATGCAAGAAGTGATTAACTTCCCGTCTTAGTTATGCGGGCCACACCTCTTCAAGTCAAATAAAAATGACACCTCTGGCCCAAGAGCCATAGCGTGCCAGAAGCCAGTTCAGGAGTATCCTTTGGAAAGTGTGAGTAAAAGGTGAAACTGTCTTTTCCTGCCTCGGAAAATGGTGCTTTGAAATGAGTGTGGTTGCTTTGTCACCCTGATCCAGAGATCAGCCTTCATTCTCTTCCCCGTTCGTTCGGGCAAACCTCCTATTAAAATTGCTGCCTTAAGAAAGCAGACTGACACTTGTCTTACTGGAAAAGCAAGATACCATAGGACAGAGAATGCCAAGCCAACCCCTACGTGGGGGATTTGGCTTCTGATTTTTATTGGCGTGACACGGCAATACAGTATTTATTTGACGTGCGGGGAGAGCCAGTCCGTCATGGAAGATACAGTTAGTACCTCCCGGGTGCCAGAATGCTAGACACCACTGGGGAAATGGCACAGATCCTTCTTGCCCAGACCGTGGCTCCCGGTGGAGGCAGCGAGACCTCCACAACTGCTAGAAATAGGTGGTGTGCCCAGGGGGCGCTGTGTGGAGGCAGAGTGGAAATCCCACCGCTGGGGGCCGTGAAGGTAGTGTAGCGTGTGTAGTGATTAGGAGCTCGGGATCGAGGGCCTAAAGCCAAATCCCGACTCCTCCGCTTCCTCACTGGGACTTGGGGTGCGTGATTCACCTGCCATATCCCTTCGGCAGAAAGGGAGAACATAGTGGCACCTTCCTCATGTGGTGGTGAGAAACGGAATGAGGTTTTGCACATGAAACACTCAGCATACTGCATCTCGGACAGGTGTTAGGTATGGCAGTGTTATTTAGACCTTGAAGAGTGGGTAGAACGAAGAAGTGGCAGAGGTGAGGAACAGCTTGAAGGTGAAAATGTGCATGTCGTATTCAAGGAGAGGAGAGTGCTGGTCTGGTCTAGCTGAGGGCTTGAGGGACCAACATCGTCCCTCCCTTTTGTGTAAGTTTTAACCCTGTGTGTTACTCAGCTGCTTTCTCAGCACTTGCCCTAGCAACAGCCCTAACAACAACAACAAAAAGCTGTGCTCTGGGTACCGATGTGATGTGGAGAAAGAGAAATTGCTCAGCTTCCCTTGGCCGATTTGCTAGATTAGCTCTTTACTGTAAAATTGGAGTTGGAGTGAGGGAATCGCTTTCATTTCTGTTAATGAAAGTGAAGACTGTAAGGCTGACTGTCATTCTGGGTCCTTTTCCCAGCTGAACCATTTAGCAACCCACCCTCATAGTGGGAGCCTTCCGCACTCAGCTGAATGAAATTGAAAATCTACGATTGCACTTCAGTGGGGCCCATGAATAGACGCTTTGTCTGTAAAGAGTTGGTGTTGCACATGGTCTCTGTCTCACAGTATCATGCGTTTGCAAAGATGAGATCAGGACCGGCAGGGTCTTATTTTAAAACCAAAAAAAAAAAAAGAAACCACAGGCTGGGAGTCTTGGTCCACAAAATGTGCCTTTTGGGCAAGCTCAAGTTGCTGAATTTAGTGTGTTTGACCATGGATTTAAAGACAAGACATTATTGGCTATTCACCCTTCTATCTGATGTGCTCTTATCTTTGTGTTTAAAAAAAAAAGACAACAGAATGATAAAGAAAATCTTTCACTCGCTGTAGCTACCACATGACAAGACAACCTATTGAAAAAGCAAACCAATTCAATCACGCATTGTTTGGTCTATAAGGCACCAAGTAACCAGTTTGACAGTTTGTGTCCCCCCCCCAGTGAATTGGCTTATTTCATTGGATTCAGTGAATCGGCTGGTTGTTGGGGCTTTGTGTGGACACAGCTCTCATTTTGTGAGGCCTAGAACGGAGTTAAAGTTTCTAGTGTGAATAAAAACCAGCTGGGGAATTGGACAGCTAGCTCCCCAGGGAGGGATGTTGCATTTTGACAGACAAGCTGAATGGTATGAAATATGAGCTCTTTGTAACCTGCTCGGGAAAGACTCAGTGTGTGCTTCAGAAAAGGCTAGGCCTACTCAATGTGCTGTGAGGCCAAATAAATCCCATAGCCTTAAAGATGGGGTGGGGGGGGGGCCTACTTGACCTTGGATTTTCTGATTCCTGAAAGAATTGCATCTTTTAAGAGAAGGATTTTTGCTCCAAAGCATGTGCTCATTCATTCATTTTGGGAAGGAAACCTCCAGTTCAGTGCACGGACGCTTAGTGAGCAGTGGTACCCCTGGCTTTGTGCTGAGGGCGCTGCGCGTGGTGGTGTGTTTATCTAGCTTACCGTCAAGGGATGGCGGATTTTAAATATGCGCTGACATGTATTTTGAATACTGTCACAGAGGAGCTACAGGGTGCTAAGGGATTGTAGAGCAAGGAGTTTTAACCTCAGCGAGGGTCCGGTAAAGCTCCCCAAGGCAACAGTGTGTAAATGGAGACTTACAGAGTGAGGCGGACAAAGGCAGTGAGGGTGGAGGTTTTCTGGGGAGAGCTCTTGAGAAAACAGCGTGGAACTTGGAGCTGGGGGAAAGAAAGAAAAAATAAAAAACAACACGTGGAAGAAACCTAGAGTGGTTGCTGTGGAGAGTGAAGGGGAAGCAGGCCGGGGATAGCAGGGTTGCGAATACCGTGGGGTTTCATCCTTCCCCGGAGGTACCGAACGCTTGCTGTGCGCCAGGTGCGGCACCAGCCCTATTCCCGTTGCCGCCGCCCATGTTGGTGTAGTTTTCTAAATGGAGGAGCTGAGATTTTTGAACCCGCTCTTCTGACTTCTGC